CAGAGAGAATGAGGGAGACACAGACTGAGACAGAGACAGACTGAGAGAGACAGAGACAGACTGAAACCGAGAGACAGACAGGGACACAGACACAGAGAGAGAGACAGAGACATACAGAGACGCAGAGACTGAGACAGAGACAGACTGCGACAGAGATGGACACAAACAGAAGACAGAGACAGAGAGACAGAGATGGAGAGAGAGACACCGACGGAGACAGAGACAGAGGGACATAGAGACACAGAGAGACGGAGGGACAGGTGGAGAGAAGTAGAGACAGAGAGATGGAGACAGAGAGACAGAGATGGGGAGAGAGACACAGACGGAGACAGAGACAGAGGGACATAGAGACACAGAGAGACGGAGGGAGAGGTGGAGACAGAGAGACAGAGATGGAGAGAGAGACACAGACGGAGACAGAGACAGAGGGACATAGAGACACAGAGAGACGGAGGGAGAGGTGGAGAGAAACAGAGACAGAGAGATGGAGACACAGAGACAGAGATGGAGAGAGAGACACCGACGGAGACAGTCAGAGGGACATAGAGACACAGAGAGACCGAGGGAGAGGTGGAGAGAAGTAGAGACAGAGAGATGGAGACAGAGAGACAGAGAGAGGCTAAGAGAGACAAAGACACAGGGACAGAGGCTGAGAGACAAAGACATAGACAGAGAAACAGAGACAGAGAGATAGAGATAGAGATAGAGACACAGAATGAGAGAGACACAGACTGAGACAGAGACAGACTGAGAGAGACAGAGACAGACTGAAACCGAGAGACAGACAGGGACACAGACACAGAGAGAGAGACAGAGACATACAGAGACGCAGAGACTGAGACAGAGACAGACTGCGACAGAGATGGACACAAACAGAAGACAGAGACAGAGAGACAGAGATGGAGAGAGAGACACCGATGGAGACAGAGACAGAGGGACATAGAGGCACAGAGAGACGGAGGGAGAGGTGGAGAGAAACAGAGACAGAGAGATGGAGACACAGAGACAGAGAGAGGCTAAGAGAGACAAAGACACAGGGACAGAGGCTGAGAGACAAAGACACAGACAGAGAAACAGAGACAGAGAGATAGAGATAGAGACACAGAGAGAATGAGGGAGACACAGACTGAGACAGAGACAGACTGAGAGAGACAGAGACAGACTGAAACCGAGAGACAGACAGGGACACAGACACAGAGAGAGAGACAGAGACATACAGAGACGCAGAGACTGAGACAGAGACAGACTGCGACAGAGATGGACACAAACAGAAGACAGAGACAGAGAGACAGAGATGGAGAGAGAGACACCGACGGAGACAGAGACAGAGGGACATAGAGACACAGAGAGACGGAGGGACAGGTGGAGAGAAGTAGAGACAGAGAGATGGAGACAGAGAGACAGAGATGGGGAGAGAGACACAGACGGAGACAGAGACAGAGGGACATAGAGACACAGAGAGACGGAGGGAGAGGTGGAGACAGAGAGACAGAGATGGAGAGAGAGACACAGACGGAGACAGAGACAGAGGGACATAGAGACACAGAGAGACGGAGGGAGAGGTGGAGAGAAGTAGAGACAGAGAGATGGAGACAGAGAGACAGAGAGAGGCTAAGAGAGACAAAGACACAGGGACAGAGGCTGAGAGACAAAGACATAGACAGAGAAACAGAGACAGAGAGATAGAGATAGAGATAGAGACACAGAATGAGAGAGACACAGACTGAGACAGAGACAGACTGAGAGAGACAGAGACAGACTGAAACCGAGAGACAGACAGGGACACAGACACAGAGAGAGAGACAGAGACATACAGAGACGCAGAGACAGAGACAGAGATGGAGAGAGAGACACCGACGGAGACAGAGACAGAGGGACATAGAGACACAGAGAGACGGAGGGACAGGTGGAGAGAAGTAGAGACAGAGAGATGGAGACAGAGAGACAGAGATGGGGAGAGAGACACAGACGGAGACAGAGACAGAGGGACATAGAGACACAGAGAGATGGAGGGAGAGGTGGAGACAGAGAGACAGAGATGGAGAGAGAGACACAGACGGAGACAGAGACAGAGGGACATAGAGACACAGAGAGACAGAGGGAGAGGTGGAGAGAAGTAGAGACAGAGAGATGGAGACAGAGAGACAGAGAGAGGCTAAGAGAGACAAAGACAGAGAGACAGAGAGAGGCTAAGAGAGACAAAGACACAGAGACAGAGGCTGAGAGACAAAGACAGAGACAGAAACAGAGACAGAGAGATAGAGATAGAGATAGAGACACAGAATGAGAGAGACACAGACTGAGACAGAGACAGACTGAGAGAGACAGAGACAGACTGAAACCGAGAGACAGACAGGGACACAGACACAGAGAGAGAGACAGAGACATACAGAGACACAGAGACAGAGACAGAGATGGAGAGAGAGACACCGACGGAGACAGAGACAGAGGGACATAGAGACACAGAGAGACGGAGGGACAGGTGGAGAGAAGTAGAGACAGAGAGATGGAGACAGAGAGACAGAGATGGGGAGAGAGACACCGACGGAGACAGAGACAGAGGGACATAGAGGCACAGAGAGACGGAGGGAGAGGTGGAGAGAAACAGAGACAGAGAGATGGAGACACAGAGACAGAGATGGAGAGAGAGACACCGACGGAGACAGTCAGAGGGACATAGAGACACAGAGAGACCGAGGGAGAGGTGGAGAGAAGTAGAGACAGAGAGATGGAGACAGAGAGACAGAGAGAGGCTAAGAGAGACAAAGACAGAGAGACAGAGAGAGGCTAAGAGAGACAAAGACACAGAGACAGAGGCTGAGAGACAAAGACAGAGACAGAAACAGAGACAGAGAGATAGAGATAGAGATAGAGACACAGAATGAGAGAGACACAGACTGAGACAGAGACAGACTGAGAGAGACAGAGACAGACTGAAACCGAGAGACAGACAGGGACACAGACACAGAGAGAGAGACAGAGACATACAGAGACACAGAGACAGAGACAGAGATGGAGAGAGAGACACCGACGGAGACAGAGACAGAGGGACATAGAGACACAGAGAGACGGAGGGACAGGTGGAGAGAAGTAGAGACAGAGAGATGGAGACAGAGAGACAGAGATGGGGAGAGAGACACAGACGGAGACAGAGACAGAGGGACATAGAGACACAGAGAGATGGAGGGAGAGGTGGAGACAGAGAGACAGAGATGGAGAGAGAGACACAGACGGAGACAGAGACAGAGGGACATAGAGACACAGAGAGACAGAGGGAGAGGTGGAGAGAAGTAGAGACAGAGAGATGGAGACAGAGAGACAGAGAGAGGCTAAGAGAGACAAAGACAGAGACAGAGGCTGAGAGACAAAGACACAGACAGAGAAACAGAGACAGAGAGATAGAGATAGAGACACAGAGAGAATGAGGAAGACACAGACGGAGGCAGAGACAGACTGAGAGAGACAGAGACAGACTGAAACCGAGAGACAGACAGGGACACAGACACAGAGAGAGAGACAGAGACATACAGAGACACAGAGACAGAGACGGAGAGACACAGAGATGGAGAGAGAGACACAGAGACAGAGGGACATAGAGACACAGAGAGACAGAGGGAGAGGTGGAGAGAAGTAGAGACAGAGAGATGGAGACAGAGACACAGAGAGAGGCTAAGAGAGACAAAGACACAGAGACAGAGGCTGAGAGACAAAGACAGAGACAGAAACAGAGACAGAGAGATAGAGATAGAGACACAGAGAATGAGAGAGACACTGAGAGAGACAGATACAGACTGAGACTGAGAGACAGACAGGGACACAGACACAGAAAGAGAGACAGAGACATATAGAGACTAAGAGAGAGACAGAGACATACAGAGACACAGAGACTGAGACAGAGACAGACTGCGACAGAGATGGACACAAACAGAAGACAGAGACACAGAGACGGAGACGGAGAGACACAGAGATGGAGAGAGAGACACAGAGACAGAGACAGAGGGACATAGAGACACAGAGAGACAGAGAGAGAGGTGGAGAGAAATAGAGACAGAGAGATGGAGACAGAGAGACAGAGAGAGGCTAAGAGAGACAAAGACACAGAGACAGAGGCTGAGAGACAAAGACACAGACAGAGAAACAGAGACAGAGAGATAGAGATAGAGATAGAGACACAGAATGAGAGAGACACAGACTGAGACAGAGACAGACTGAGAGAGACAGAGACAGACTGAGACTGAGAGACAGGGACACAGACACAGAAAGAGAGACAGAGACATACAGAGACACAGAGACTGAGACAGAGACAGACTGCGACAGAGATGGACACAGAAACAGAAGACAGAGACACAGAGACACAGAGACGGAGGCAGCAACAGCCTCAGAGCCTTCACTGTTGTCCCGTGTTCAACCCTGGGGCTTCAGGGTGAGCACGTCACAGCCCCTGATGCCGTACTCTTCGTTGGAGGCCTGCCGGGCACATCCACAGCCAACCCATGGCTGCTGACCGCGAGCCCAAGCTCCATCTTCATTTCAAAATGTGACCTCGTGCTGATTCACACGGGCAAGGCGACCCTAGTTATGATTTATTCTCACATCCGAGTAGCTCTTAGAAGGCACCAAAGTAAAATTTTAAAATATAGGAATTAATGTGTTTTCCCCAAGGCTGCAGGCCTGAAACCTTACTTCCAATAAAATTGCAACAGCTCTTACATCCCTGAAATCTCACCATTTGTCATGATTGTAGCAACGGTGAACGTGCGTGTATCTGTCTCTGTGCAGGCCTCTCTGGAAGAACACGTCCGCCGCTCATTTAGTTAAGGGTAAGTCCCAGGTTCCTCGATCACGTAGTTACTTGAGATAAAGTTGAGAATCACTGAAGTAAATATTTTAAATACCTTTTCTACTGAATCTGCAAGATTCTAATGGAAAACTTAACCTAATATGTTTGTTATGGTTCTATTGTACAGAAAATGGTTGTATTTGAATTTTTGTTTTTATAGATGAGGATCTTCATGATCAACCAAAGAGAAGAAGAGCAAGAAAGCATAAATCCAAGAAAAGTTTTAAAAATCCCAATAATGATCATGCAGAACAAGCAGAATTAAAGAAACAGCAGAGTCTTTCACAAGAAAAACTGCAGCCACGGCCCACAGATGGCCCCACAATCAGTAAAAATAAAAAGAGGAAACTGAAGAAGAAGCAGCAGATGAAGAGGAAGAAAGCTGCCGGCTTACTGACCACAGCCTCTGGCCGCAACTTCATGTACCAGCCTGAGGAGGGCGACAGCGAGCAAGAAGCCCTGAGAGAGAGTGACGGGGAGGACGCGGAGGATCACCGGGAGGATGCTGCAGACGCCCTCGGGGAGGACAGTGCAGACGCCCGCGGGGAGGACGGTGCAGACACCAATGAGGAAGACCTTAAAAGTACCAATGAAAAGGCAGATGATATCCTAAGGTTTCTAAAGTCAACACAAGAAATTTACTTTTATGATGGTATGTTTTTTACCGTTCTTTTGAATAATGGCATCCACTTATTTGGAAAAGTAAGCAAATATAAAATATTTAAATGTTTAAAATATAAAACACGAAAATATGCAGTAGTCAAAATAAGTCATTAGTTTTGAGGCAAAGATGAGAAATTTAAACTCTGTCCAGCAAGGATGCAGAATGGCTTGTGCTCGAGGCTGTGGCTCCTCACGTGGTTGGTCTCTGCATCCTCACTGCTTTAAACGCGATTTCAGAGGCTGTTGGTATTCTCAGCTCTATTTCCACGGGAAAGGTCAGTCCAGATTGCAGGTGTGATGAACTCAGGCTCGTTTTCACGAGCTAATCAGGAAGTAAAAGTATAAGCACAACCGTCCCCTCTGAGAAGTACCTTGATTTACTTCCCACGTGTAACTTGCGGATTTAAGATTTTCAGGGAGCGTCTTTGAGCAACTCTCTATATTGATACAGGAGATGAAAAAGGGAAGCACATTTACTCTCATGGGTGGTAATTGCTTACGTTTGTGTTGAGGTTTACTGACGGCTGACCTCAGGATCAGGAAGGGGCAGGTGCTGAGTTGAGCCACCATGTTCACACCAAGGACAAAGGCGCTCGGGATGAGCCGTTGCCCATTCTGACAACGTTCCTAGTGGATTCAGGGGCTGGGGTGGGTTTAGTGTATCCCGATGTGAGCAAGAATGTGACCTTATGAATAAGACTGAGAAATTTTGGCTCTGTGATAATTGGGGGGGTAAGGAAGTGATTTACACAAGGGTGTGAAAATGCCATTGTTAATAGATCAGTTTAACCCTTTCCCCTTTAGCACGTCTATCAGCGCTTTGTCTTAACAGAGCGAAAACAAACTTAATAGCTAAACGAGGCTAGTAGGAACACATAGCTAATACGCGGCAGAGCAGAAGGAGCCTCAGAAAGACCTCAGTACAGGATCCATTGCGTGTGAGTCTAGGAGGTTCTGCGGAAAAGCGCCCAAGAGGGCAGACCCCAGAGGAGGTGACACCACGTGAGGGCTGAGCCCTAACTCCACGGCCTCCTTTCCCCGGGGGCGTCTGCCGGCCATGCATGTGGGCGCTGGAGCGGGGTGCAGGGGAGGGCCGGCCGAGCCCTGGGAAGCTCACCCACCAGTGTGTGCAGCTTCAGCCACAGTGCAGGCCTGTGGGCCTCTCAGAACCTTTGCCAGATGCCAACCTGTGGGCTGCAAGGTAGGGAGAAGCGAGGAGCTTCAACAACATGGTGGACCTCTTCGGCAGTTTTGGGATGCTGACAAGGTTGACATCCCAGAGGGCCACGCACTTGGAGCAGGGGTGGGTGGAGGCGGCTGAGCCCACCCTGTGTCAGCTCAGTCCCTGCAGGGGCAGGTTGGCCCAGACCACCGCCAGTTTCCATACTCACGCACTCCAACTTAGCGGGCAAAACCACGAGAAGAACGTGCAATGGAGACATTGATGTTATCAGAAGGCACTGAAAGAGGTATGATTAAGGTGCTCAAAAAAATAGGGAGAAAAAGGTGAAAAATTGCAGAATTTCACCAGATAGCCTCAATCTATTAAGACAGTCAAATGCAAATTGTGAGAAATATAATAACTGAAATTAAGAACTCAATGCTGAGTCTCAGCCGCAGGTCAGGTTCAGCATGAGAGAGATCAGTGGCCGGGAAACAGGCAGGATAGAACCTGCAGATGGGTGCTCACAGGCGCCAGGGGGACGGGAACAGGTCTGACATGCGTGTACTTGGGGTCCAGGACAGGGCGCTGGGGGCCGTGTGCAGAGGTAATAGTTGGGAGTTCTTTGAAGTTGGGAAAGGCCATCAAGTCATAGACTCAAAATGCTGTATGAAGTCCAAGCGGGACTAAAGCGGAGAACAGCACAGCAAAAGCCGTTGAGTGGGAACGGGGCACCTGAGGCCGGTCTGCAGGGCTGGGCCGTGTCCGTGGCCCTGCCACGGCCCGTGACTCCTAGCGGTGTTTCTGGAAGGCGTCGCAGGAGATGGAGGCCCAGACAGAGGCAGGCCTCCAGCGGCTTCACTGAGCCCTAGTTCCTTGCTGACGGTTCACATTCTGCTCCAGCGGCCTCTCCTGGCAGCTTCCTCTATCCCCAGCAGCTCATTCTGAGTAGAGACGCGTTAGGTGGGAAGTACCTTCAGCTGACAGAAAGAAACATAAACGTGTGTTTCTCTGGGACCCTGGCTTTGCTTAGGTGCCTCCAAGGATGATGCAGACTGTGCTGTGTCCGTGGAAGCCAGTCAGGAGCTGTTCCAGCATCTCGAGGCTCACAGCATGTCCCCCTCTGATGTGCGCCTTGTGCATCACATGAAAACGCTGTTACTCGTGCGAGACACCGAGAGCCTGCAGCACGCCCTGGAGAGGCTCCCAGCATGTTGCGCCATGCCGCCCGGTACGTACTGAGCCCCTGGGGTCAGCCCCCGAGGCCGGGGGGCAGAGCGTCGGGGACGCGCGTGTGCTTGTGGACACGGGAATGTGCTTGCTGTAAGCAGGACTCACGTGACGGGCGCGGAAGGCCCTGTGCCGCCCGATCTTCCAGGCGCTGAGCTGTCTGGGCCAGATGTCATCGGTTTAAATGTCACCCCTTGCCCGCTTCCTCCTCTGCTCTGCTGGTAGGAGGCTGACTTTTTCTGCCCGTTAAGTATCTTGGGGAGACGTGAATTACAAGACGACTTTTCTCTTGTGTACCACCCTTTCTTGGGTGCCCTTTCCACGCAAACTGTCAGGTGCTGGGGCCAACCGTGCCCCAGTCCTCCCAGCACCGGGGTGCTGACTTCGTGTCAGTAGCTTGAAATGGGCGTTGGGGGGAGTATCAGGCCACGGGAGTGTGCAGACGCCAAGGATCAGAAAATCAAGGCTCTTCCTAGAGAACCACCGCAGAGCCCACGCCTGACCCACACCAGGCCAGTGGCACCTTTTCAGCTGAATGAATGGAGGGCTTCTGCAGACTTCTCCGAGGGAACGTCAAAGTGACCACAATGACTGTCTCCACCCAGAAACCTCATGGTTGCAGCTGAAAGGTCACTACTAACATGGTATCAAATCAGGTAAGAGGACAGTAAGGCCATCCCAGTGTGGCGCTGGGGTGACGAGCAGGGGAGTGACAGGGACCGTCAACACTTCATTCTCCAGTTGGGGAGGCCGGTCACCGAGCTGGGGTCCCAGAGGTCCCAGAGGTCCTGAATTAACGTGTCTGTTGAGCTTCATTGGGCGTCTGCCTGCGCCGCCCTCTGTCCTCAGTTGCTGGATTCTCGGAGAACGGGGCAGACAAAGCCCTGCCCTTGGGTGCTCGTGTGCCGGTGGGGCGACTGGAGATCAGGAGCTGACCCCCGCCGTATGCACGCTAGACAGGAGCCTCGAGTCCCGGTGGGGAGACGGGTGACGAGATTGGGAGCTGACCCCCGCCGTGTGCACGCAGGACAGGAGCCTTATGTACTGGTGGGGAGACTGGGGAGATCGGGAGTGACCCCCGCCGTGTGCACGCTAGACAGGAGCTTCGTGTCCTGGTGGGGCGATGGGTGACAAGATCGGGAGCTGACCCCCGCCGTGTGCACGCTAGACAGGAGCCTCGAGTCCCGGTGGGGAGACGAGTGACGGGATTGGGAGCTGACCCCCGCCGTGTGCACGCTAGACAGGAGCTTCGTGTCCTGGTGGGGCGATGGGTGACAAGATCGGGAGCTGACCCCCGCCGTGTGCATGCTAGACAGAAGCCTCGAGTCCCGGTGGGGAGACGGGAGACGAGATCGGGAGCTGACTCCGCCGTGTGCACGCTAGACAGGAGTCTCATGTCCTGATGGGGAGACTGGGGAGATCGGGAGCTGACCCCCACCGTGTGCACGCTAGACAGGAGCCTCGAGTCCCGGTGGGGAGACGGGTGACGAGATCGGGAGCTGACCCCCGCCGTGTGCACGCTAGACAGGAGTCTCATGTCCTGATGGGGAGACTGGGGAGATCGGGAGCTGACCCCCGCCGTGTGCACGCTAGACAGGAGCCTCGTGTCCTGGTGGGGAGATGGGTGACAAGATTGGGAGCTGACCCCCGCCGGAAGCTGACCCCCGCCGTGTGCACGCTAGACAGGAGCCTCGAGTCCCGGTGGGGAGACGGGTGACGAGATCGGGAGCTGACCCCGCCGTGTGCACGCTAGACAGGAGCCTCGAGTCCCGGTGGGGAGACGGGTGACGAGATCGGGAGCTGACCCCCGCCGTGTGCACGCTAGACAGGAGTCTCATGTCCTGATGGGGAGACTGGGGAGATCGGGAGCTGACCCCCGCCGTGTGCACGCTAGACAGGAGCCTCGTGTCCTGGTGGGGAGATGGGTGACAAGATTGGGAGCTGACCCCCGCCGGAAGCTGACCCCCGCCGTGTGCACGCTAGACAGGAGCCTCGAGTCCCGGTGGGGAGACGGGTGACGAGATCGGGAGGTGACCCCCACCGTGTGCACACTAGACAGGAGTCTCATGTTCTGATGGGGAGACTGGGGAGATCGGGAGCTGACCCCCGCCCTGTGCATGCTAGACAGGAGTCTCATGTATTGGTGGGGAGACTGGGGAGATCGGGAGCTGACCCCCGCCGTGTGCACGCTAGACAGGAGCCTCGAGTCCCGGTGGGGAGACGAGTGACGGGATTGGGAGCTGACCCCCGCCGTGTGCACGCTAGACAGGAGTCTCATGTCCTGATGGGGAGACTGGGGAGATCGGGAGCTGACCCCCGCCGTGTGCACGCTAGACAGGAGCCTCGAGTCCCGGTGGGGAGACGGGTGACGAGATCGGGAGCTGACCCCCGCCGTGTGCACGCTAGACAGGAGCCTCGAGTCCCGGTGGGGAGACGGGTGACGAGATCGGGAGCTGACCCCGCCGTGTGCACGCTAGACAGGAGCCTCGAGTCCCGGTGGGGAGACGGGTGACGAGATCGGGAGCCTACCCCGCCGTGTGCACGCTAGACAGGAGCCTCGAGTCCCGGTGGGGAGACGGGAGACGAGATCGGGAGCTGACCCCCACTGTGTGCATGCTAGACAGGAGCCTCATGTATTGGTGGGGAGACTGGGGAGATCGGGAGCTGACCCCCGCCGTGTGCACGCTAGACAGGAGCCTCGTGTCCTGGTGGGGAGATGGGTGACAAGATTGGGAGCTGACCCCCGCCGGAAGCTGACCCCCGCCATGTGCACGCTAGACAGGAGCCTCGAGTCCCGGTGGGGAGACGGGTGACGAGATCGGGAGCTGACCCCGCCGTGTGCACGCTAGACAGGAGCCTCGAGTCCCGGTGGGGAGACGGGTGACGAGATCGGGAGCTGACCCCGCCGTGTGCACGCTAGACAGGAGCCTCGAGTCCCGGTGGGGAGACGGGAGACGAGATCGGGAGCTGACCCCCGCCGTGTGCACGCTAGACAGGAGCCTCGAGTCCCGGTGGGGAGACGGGAGACGAGATCGGGAGCTGACCCCCGCCGTGTGCACGCTAGACAGGAGCCTCGAGTCCCGGTGGGGAGACGGGTGACGAGATCGGGAGCCTACCCCGCCGTGTGCACGCTAGACAGGAGCCTCGAGTCCCGGTGGGGAGACGGGAGACGAGATCGGGAGCTGACCCCCGCCGTGTGCACGCTAGACAGGAGCCTCGAGTCCCGGTGGGGAGACGGGTGACGAGATCGGGAGCTGACCCCCGCCGTGTGCACGCTAGACAGGAGCCTCGAGTCCCGGTGGGGAGACGGGTGACGAGATCGGGAGCTGACCCCGCCGTGTGCACGCTAGACAGGAGCCTCGAGTCCCGGTGGGGAGACGGGTGACGAGATCGGGAGCTGACCCCGCCGTGTGCACGCTAGACAGGAGCCTCGAGTCCCGGTGGGGAGACGGGTGACGAGATCGGGAGCTGACCCCGCCGTGTGCACGCTAGACAGGAGCCTCGAGTCCCGGTGGGGAGACGGGTGACGAGATCGGGAGCTGACCCCCGCCGTGTGCATGCTAGACAGGAGCCTCGAGTCCCGGTGGGGAGACGGGTGACGAGATCGGGAGCTGACCCCGCCGTGTGCACGCTAGACAGGAGCCTCGAGTCCCGGTGGGGAGACGGGTGACGAGATCGGGAGCTGACCCCGCCGTGTGCATGCTAGACAGGAGCCTCATGTATTGGTGGGGAGACTGGGGAGATCGGGAGCTGACCCCCGCCGTGTGCACGCTAGACAGGAGCCTCGTGTCCTGGTGGGGAGATGGGTGACAAGATTGGGAGCTGACCCCCGCCGGAAGCTGACCCCCGCCGTGTGCACGCTAGACAGGAGCCTCGAGTCCCGGTGGGGAGACGGGAGACGAGATCGGGAGCTGACCCCCGCCGTGTGCACGCTAGACAGGAGCCTCGAGTCCCGGTGGGGAGACGGGTGACGAGATCGGGAGCTGACCCCCGCCGTGTGCACGCTAGACAGGAGCCTCGAGTCCCGGTGGGGAGACGGGTGACGAGATCGGGAGCTGACCCCGCCGTGTGCACGCTAGACAGGAGCCTCGAGTCCCGGTGGGGAGACGGGTGACGAGATCGGGAGCCTACCCCGCCGTGTGCACGCTAGACAGGAGCCTCGAGTCCCGGTGGGGAGACGGGAGACGAGATCGGGAGCTGACCCCCACTGTGTGCATGCTAGACAGGAGCCTCATGTATTGGTGGGGAGACTGGGGAGATCGGGAGCTGACCCCCGCCGTGTGCACGCTAGACAGGAGCCTCGTGTCCTGGTGGGGAGATGGGTGACAAGATTGGGAGCTGACCCCCGCCGGAAGCTGACCCCCGCCATGTGCACGCTAGACAGGAGCCTCGAGTCCCGGTGGGGAGACGGGTGACGAGATCGGGAGCTGACCCCGCCGTGTGCACGCTAGACAGGAGCCTCGAGTCCCGGTGGGGAGACGGGTGACGAGATCGGGAGCTGACCCCCGCCGTGTGCATGCTAGACAGGAGCCTCATGTATTGGTGGGGAGACTGGGGAGATCGGGAGCTGACCCCCGCCGTGTGCACGCTAGACAGGAGCCTCGTGTCCTGGTGGGGAGATGGGTGACAAGATTGGGAGCTGACCCCCGCCGGAAGCTGACCCCCGCCGTGTGCACGCTAGACAGGAGCCTCGAGTCCCGGTGGGGAGACGGGTGACGAGATCGGGAGCTGACCCCGCCGTGTGCACGCTAGACAGGAGCCTCGAGTCCCGGTGGGGAGACGGGAGACGAGATCGGGAGCTGACCCCCGCCGTGTGCACGCTAGACAGGAGCCTCGAGTCCCGGTGGGGAGACGGGAGACGAGATCGGGAGCTGACCCCCGCCGTGTGCACGCTAGACAGGAGCCTCGAGTCCCGGTGGGGAGACGGGTGACGAGATCGGGAGCTGACCCCGCCGTGTGCACGCTAGACAGGAGCCTCGAGTCCCGGTGGGGAGACGGGAGACGAGATCGGGAGCTGACCCCCGCCGTGTGCACGCTAGACAGGAGCCTCGAGTCCCGGTGGGGAGACGGGTGACGAGATCGGGAGCTGACCCCGCCGTGTGCACGCTAGACAGGAGCCTCGAGTCCCGGTGGGGAGACGGGAGACGAGATCGGGAGCTGACCCCCGCCGTGTGCACGCTAGACAGGAGCCTTGAGTCCCGGTGGGGAGACGGGAGACGAGATCGGGAGCTGACCCCCGCCGTGTGCACGCTAGACAGGAGCCTCGAGTCCCGGTGGGGAGACAGGTAACGAGATTGGGAGCTGACCCCCGCCATGTGCATGCTAGATCGGAGTCTGCGGAGAAGGAAAACCCACAGGGAGGGGATATTCTTGCAGCCAGGAGCAAATGCACTGGGATGGAGTGTGGTGGGTTTCTCATGGTGGGAGCAGGTCGTGGGAGCAGGCGGATGGAGGGCGACCTGGCGGTGGTGTCGACCCGAGTGCAGAGTCATGCCATCGCTATGGGCTTCTGCTCCCAGACACAAGCAAGACCCCTGGCTGTCGAGTTCAGGCCAGAGTGAAGGGTCAGGAGCAGAAGGCCGGGGCCTTTGCTTATGGTGAGAGAGGCGGTCCAGAGGTGTGGGAGGTTCAGAGAGGCTGTGCAGGTGGAAGCCACAGGATGGCCAGCTGAGCAGGCGTGGGGCCTGAGCCTCTGGAAGAGCCCAGTGGCCGGTTCTGAGCTGTGATGCTCGGAGGGGCAGAGTCCAGGGAGAGGGACCTCAGGAGCCAGGGTCGCCTGGGGCCGGACGGGATGCTGGCTGGACACCCAGGGTGAGACTGAGGATGGGGAAGGTCACCAGGGGCCACCTTCGCAGAGCAGAGAGGGTGGAGGAGAGCAGAGACCCGTCCGGGGGCCCCTGCAGGAGGAGGCGCGGGGGAGCCTAGAGGCGAGCGTGCGGGAAGGCATGGTGCCTCAGAAGCTGAGGCACCCAAGCCCTTCTCACAAGGAGCTCAGCTCAGGGGGGTCGGGCGGCCAGGGCTTCCTGAGCAGCTCGCTGGTGGTCGCGCTAGATGCAGCAGACTTAAATTTCCATAAAGTTTCAGCTCAAATTGCAGAAAGCCAGTTTTATTAAACAAATATAAAGTTTTTATGAGGTAAAAATAAATCATTTAAAATTTTCAGAATTTGTGCTGTGTTCCTCACACGGAGGCCTTTCTTCTGCGTTGCTCTAAAACGTGTTGGCAGAGTTCTCAGCAGCAGCTGGGGATTTAGCAGGAATGTTTCTCTGGGCTTCTTACGTTCAGGTCACTGGGCAAGTTTTGTCTACAAGCACACTTACTTTCAGCACTTGGTAGAACTAAAACTTACATATGAAGCCCTTTCCTTAAAAATGAGTTCCCTTTTAGTGCATGTAGGATATGCTTTCAGAGTTGTTCTATTTAAAGCTGTTTTGTAGACAAAACAAAGCATGTTAGCAGCAGTGAAGCCCTGTCCTCAGACCGGTGTGTCTGACGCACGCTTGTCCTGGGCGCGGCGCAGGGGCGGGCGGCTGGGCCAGGACCACGCACTTGGGAGCTGCAGAGGGTCCCTCCCCGCCGCTCAGTCATTACCGTTGCTGACACTCGGCCCTTTCCTGGCTGCGCCCCAGTCGGTCTCTTCACGGGTCCGTGTTTAGGGAGCTAGGACCAAGCTGGTGCCCAGGAAAGGGGCCCAGCTCCTGACCACTTACGGTTCCGAACACAGGAGCCTACGGTCCGGGCAGTAACGCTGCACTCTACCGCATGTTGTCACGCGACCCTCCTTGACGCCTGGTGAGGGAGCGCGGGGTCAGGCCGCTGGCCGGGTAGCAGGGCGCATCCGGACCGGCCTTAGCCCCGGGCCTCTGTTCCAAGTGGGCAGTGGGGTGGGCCTCCCAGCGGAGCCGGCTGCATGTGACCGGGCTGCAGGGCGTGCTGACAGCCGGCCGCTCCCGAGGGCAGCCCCGTCTCCGACCGCCCCAAGGCCGCTGTGCGTAGTGGCCGCCTGTGACGGGTGTCCGAGCGGTTAGGAGGCCCGGCACCTGGGGAGAGGCATCCGCACTGGAAGCTGCACAGGCCCCGGAGGCGGGAGAGGGGCGGTGGAGCCCAGGCCGGCTGCAGGCACCACGCTGCGCTAGGGCACCTCCTACGTGTGCCTGCGTGAGGTTCCGGCGCCCCCCGCAGAGGGGTTCCACCTCGGACCCCAAGCTCTCTGTCCCCCTGTGTGCGCACACCTGTGCCTGCGGCCCCGGCGCCCCCGCAGAGGGGTTCCGCCGCGGACCCCGCGTGCTCTGTTCCCCTGTGCGCACACCTGTGCCCGTGGCCCTGACGCCCCCACGGAGGGGTTCCATCGCAGACCCCTGAGCGCCCTGTTCCCCTGCGCGCACACCTGTGTCCGCGGACCCTGCGCGCTCTGTTTCCCTGCGCTGGGTTTCAGTGTGCCCTTCCCCTGAGCGCCGGTGGTCGCGCAATTCCGTCACGGGTGTTCGGAAGGTCTGACAGAGCCTGCAGACCGCGAGCTGTCACCCGAGGAAGCACCGACCCCCAGAATTTACCCGCGTGCTGTAGGCTCTGACTGCCGCGGGCCGCGACCACTACCACTTCTGAGCCAACAGCTAAGGGCTAAAAAACATCATTTATAGTTTGTGTTTGGGGACTTTCCTGCTCTTTTTTATCTTTTGTTTTATGTCGTGTGTTTGCCCTCCAGACCACGCCAGAGTGCTCTCAGCTTTCTTTAACTACTGGGTCACACACATCCTTCCGGAGAAACACAGTGAACAAGTCGGTGCATCCAAGAAGAGCCAACATTTAGCAAGAAAATATAAAACGGCAAACATGCGATCGGCAGAGACGTGATTTGTACAGAGAAGACAGAATTGCTAAATTTTCTTTGTAACCTGAATCCCAGGAACTTTGAAAGTATCTCTGCCGTGTTATTTATTTATGTGTTGTACACAATGGGCAACATGCAGTCAGACTTTGAGAAACTGGGATAAAATGGAACATTTTCAATTATCAGAAATTGCTTATGTCTCAGATTACTACACAGTGATCCTGTTTTTCTGATTCTTGTAAAAATTGAAAATGGACATTCTGTTAAATTTAATAAACTGTGTAGTTTGAAGTTGTTATATATTTTTGTAAAGTAATATAACCTTGTATTTGAAAGTCTCTGTTTTAAGAACACTTTATGGACATTAAATGTTCTGGTTTAGGTCATTTGATTCTAGTTGAATTTATTATTTTCTTCCTTGTTTCCTCTTCTCTGCTTTGGGAATAACAAGAACATCATTTTCCCGGTTTGATCTTCCCTTTCTCCGTGGTGATAGTCACCTGTTCTCAGGATTACTGGGTTTTAGAGACACCTGTCAGCTGACTCACGCTTTAGGAGGTCATTGACTCTGTCCATGAAAATATATTTTTTTATTGTGGTAAAATATGCATAACATAAAATTCATCATTTTAGCCGTTTTTAAGTGTACAATTCAGTGGCATTAAGTTATTCGCAGCGTCGGGCGACCATGCCACTCTTCAGGCTAAACAGCATTCCGCTATATGGATAAGCCACGTTCTGTTTGCCTGCCATCTGCTGATGGACGTCTGGGCTGTTGTGAATAGTGCCGCCCTGGAGACCGTGCACGGAATCCTGTGTGGACACCTGTGTTCCTGCCTCTCGGGGGGTAGGATTGCCCGGTCCGACGGTAACTCTGAGTGTGACTTCTCGAGGAAATGCTGGTCTGCTGTCCATGGGGGCCACACCATCCTGCATCCCGCCAGCCCTGCACAGAGTGGCCACGGCCCCCACATCCACCCTCACGCTGTTATCTTCTGTTTGCTTGGTGGTAGCCAGCCTGATGGCGACAAATGATGTCTCGTGTGCTTTCAGTTTACATTTCCATGGTGTTGAATGCTTTTGAGCATATTTTCACCTGCTTGTGGGCCATTCTCTTTTTCAGGGAAATGCCTGTTGAAGTCATTGTCCATTAGGGAATTGGATTATCTGGTTTTTGTCATTGGATTATAAGAGTTCTTTATATATTCTGAATATTAATCCCTTATCAGAGAAGTGATTTTACGGTGTTTTCTCCCATTTTGTGGCCTGCCTGCCTTGTCTCTAGCTCACTACTGTTCTTTGATGCACAAATGGTTTACATTTTGATGAAGTCCAACTTATTTATCTTTTCCTTTGTTGCTGATGCATTTGGTGTCATATCCAGGATATAATTGCCAAACCAGTATCATAAGATTTTTCCCTAATGTTTTCTCCCAAGAATTTCATAGTTCTTTGTAACTCTTACATTTAGGTCTTTGATCCACTTTGAGTTAATTTTTATATACGGTGTAAGGTAAGATTCTGATTTCATTGTCTGTGTGTGGATATTCAGTTATCCCAGGATCGTATGTTGAAAAGACTGTCTTTTCCCCATTGACTGGTCTTGGCACCCTTGTTGAGAATCATCTGACCGCATATGTGAGGATTTATTTCGGGGTTCTCTGTTCTATTCCATTTGTCTGTATGTCTGTCCTTATGCTAGGACCACACTATTCTCATTACTGTAGCTCCATAGAAGATATGAGATCAGGAAGTGTAAATCCTCCAGCTTTGTTCTTTTTCATGATTGTTTTGGCTATTTGGGGCCCCTTGAGATTCCATGTGAATATTAGGCTAGAGTTTTCTATCTCTGGAAAAAACACCTTTGGTAATCATAGGGATTGCATTGAACCTGGAGATCACTTTGGGTGGTGTGGTCATCTCAACACTATTATTAAGTCTTCCACTCCACGAACATGGGATGTCTTTCCATGTATTTATGACTCTTCCTAAATTCCCTTTAGCAGTGTTTTGTAGAATTCAGTGTACTAGCCTTTCTCTCCATCATTAAGCTTAGTCCTAAGTATTTTATTCTTTCTGATGTGATTGTAAATGAAATTGTTTTCTTAATTGCCTTTTCAGATGGTTCATCATTAGTATAGAAATGCAACTGATTGGGGCGCCTGGGTAGCTCAGTCGGTGAGCATCTGCCTTCGGCTCAGGTCATAATCCTGGGATCTAGCATCCAGCCCTGCATCGGGCTCCCTGCTCAGCGGGGATTCTGCTTCTCCCTCTGCCTCTGCTGCTCCCCCTGTTCTCTCTCTCTCTCTGTCTCTCTGTCAGATAAATAAATCTTTAAAAAAGAAAAAAGAAATGCAGCTGATTTTTGTATATTGGTTTTGTATCCTGCAATGTTGCTGAGTAACAGTGGTGTATGTGTGTATTCTTTATCCCGCCATGTCCTTAAGAGATGCCTGTTCCACTAAGTAGAACCTTCTGGAGGCAGATTGAGACAGCCAAGATTTGCTACCGGTTCTGGAGAGCCATCAGTTTGCAGCTAGGTGCTGTGAAGCACCCTGAGCTTCATAAAAGTCAGTAAGTGGAGCCACCGGCCAGACCTGGACACTAGGATAGGCCCGCCACACCCCAGGGCTGTGACCAAGAGCATGAATGCTCTTGGCCAGGGTGGGCGCACGTCCTAAAGGAGCCATTTTGGGGAGGCCACACCTTGAGGTGAGAGAGGTGGGGCAGCATCACCGTTCACTCCCCTGACAACGTCTGGCTCCTCCCCGTGCCCCCCCCAAGGGAGAAATGTCACCTGCACGAGGGTCCTACCCATCCACTACCTCCCTCTCTCCGCTAATATAAGTCAGCATGGAATGTGGGTGAGGTCCGAGCCCCGGGAGTCATGTCCCTTCCCACGGGGACCAGGGACCACTCGGCAGCACAATGTCAACTGCTGCTTGCCTTCAGGGACCACCTGGCTGGCCTTAGGAAACCTGACTTTTCATGGACCCAGATAGTGACCCTCCCACAGTGCCTGTGAATTAATAAGCTGTGTCTGCCAATATGAAAATACTGACAGATTCATTAATTTTCCTGTTAATTCTCAGCGTCTAATTTGTGTCTCTTAATTAGGATCAATTTACATTTTTTCTGTGCACAGCAAGTTAGCACACTGTTGACAGAGAGGAAAACCCTGCAGTTGGCAGACGGACGGCCCTTCATTTGGTCTCTTTCCTCTCAGCACAGAATCCGGCCAACTCCCCTCCTCCCCCTTCCCCACTCCGTGGGGTTTTGCCTTCTCTGTTTCCCCGGCCACACCCCAAAATACACAGGAACAGGATGTAATCCCACAGGCAGGGCGGTCAGGGTCAGTGGGTTTTGTGTATCATTCTAATTCAAAGAAGAAAAAAATGCCTCTTCTAGAGAACAAAAGCAAATAAATCCTGTCTCTAATGTGTTGGCATAAATATGGTAATGTTTATCACCATGGGGTTGAAGTTGGGTAATAAATAGATCAATTTATCTTTTATAAAAGTGCAGAATATTCATGAGGTGCATGTGACTTGTTCTCTGTGAACCAGTCACAACAAAGAGAAGGAAGCTCTCAGGAAATGGGTGGGTATGCATTAGCTTGCTGATACTGAGACCCTGGTGTTCCGGAGAAAAGCCTGTCCACACCTTCCCGCAGCCCTGAGACCCCAGAGGCCCCAGACGAGGCCATGGCATGCGCGCCCGAGCTTTTCCTGCCCCCACAACCCAAGGGCTGCAGTGTTTTCAGAGAAAAGCTGCCCTGAGTTCACCTGCACCAGCACTTGGCTGATTCTGGATTTTTCTTCTATGTCCAGCACATGCTTGAGCCCCAGCGTTTTCTCGGGGGACCTTGTCTTCTCATTTGGGGCACATATTCTTCAGAGAATCTAATGAAAGCATCAGACCCTCTCCAAAATAAGGAGCGGATGCACGTGTCCACCCCACCCCGGACACACAAATATCGTGCACAACTTTATTTTTTTTTTAAAGATTTTATTTATTTATTTGACACAGAGAGACACAGCGGGAGAGGGAACACAAGCAGGGGGAGTGGGAGAGGGAGAAGCAGGCTCCCCGTGGAGCAGAGAGCCCAATGCGGGGCTCGATCCCAGGACCCTGGGATCATGACCTGAGCCGAAGGCAGACGCTTAACGACTGAGCCACCCAGGCACCCCTCGTGCACAACTTTAAAGAGGTTGCATGTTCCCCCCAAATCCATTCGCCAGTGTGTTAATATTCTCCTTCTGCACAACAAATGACCACAAACCAGTGGCTTAAAACAGCACCCATGTATTTGTCCCAGTGTCTGTAGGTCAGGGCGCAGGCCTAGCTACCTGGCTCGTGTGCTCAGGGTCTCACTGGGCTGTTGGTGGAGCTCTGTTCCTATGGCTTAGGACTGAGGTCCTGGTGTTCTTGCTGGCTGTTGGCCAGGACATCTCTCAGCTCCTTGAGGACCCCATGTCCCAGCCACGGACCCCTCTGAGCCCCTCCAACCTGGCAGGGACCCCTTCAAGGCCAGCAGAAGAATCTAGGAAGAGCTGAGCCTTCTCAAGGGCTTACCCTGATGGATTGGACCCACCAGGATGCTCTCTCTTTTGAATAATTTAAAACTGATGAATGGGCAACTTCAGGATCCTGCAGTAAATGCAGACAAGCCTTTATTGTGCTCACACTGCTCACAGGGCACCCGGCCACTGCAGTGTCCGCCACACATGGGATGCCTGGTGCATGTGCACACACGGGTCACAGCACACGCAGGTGTCTGGAATATGTGCACGCATGAGTCAGCACATGCAGGTGTCCTATGTATACATGCATGAGTCAGCACATGCGGGGAACCCATGTATCCACGCATGAGTCAGCACACGTGGGGGTCCCGTGTTTACACACATGAGTCAGCACATGCAGGTGTCCTATGTATACATGCATGAGTCAGCACACGCAGGGTTCCCGTGTATCCGCGCATGAGTCAGCACATGCAGGGGTCCTGTGTATGTGCACACAAGTCAGCACACGCATGGGTCCCGTGTATGTGCACATGAGTCAGCACACGCAGGGGTCCCAGGTATCCGTGCATGAGTCAGCACACGCAGGGGTCCCGTGTATGTGCACACGAGTCAGCACACGCAGGGGTCCCGTGTATGTGCACACATGAGTCAGCACATGCAGGGTCCCGTGTATGTGCACACGAGTCACCACACACAGGGGTCCCGTGTATCCGTGCATGAGTCAGCACTCGCAGGGGTCCCGTGTATGTGCACATGAGTCAGCACACGCAGGCGTCCCGTGTATGTGCACACATGAGTCAGCACACGCAGGGGTCCGGTGTATCCACGCACGAGTCAGCACATGCAGGGGCCCCGTGTATGTG